GTAATTCAATGAGAACAGATGACTCCATTCCTCTGGTTTACGGAGACTCCTCAAAGAACAAGCACAAAATACAGGCAGGGACAATCAGATGCTAGAGGAAAGGTCTCTCTCCCTCCTCTGACTCCATAAAAACTGGGACTGCTAGAGGCCATCTCTGCCATCACACAGAAAAAGCCAATCTGAGAATGAAGCCAACACCAGGAAGGGCAAAACTAAAAAGATGGATCCACCCAAGCATGCCTAAAATCAGGTTGGTTCCAGGAATAAACCTTCATAAGCCTGAGTTGGGTTTCTATCACAACTGAAAGAATTCTGGCAATGGAGTATAACACTACCATCAAAAGAATGAGGTGGATCTCTATGTACAGACATAGACTTCCACAGTATGTTGAGGGAAAATCACAATAGCAATTTTCAGAGCATTATTATACTATGCATTTTTTGTTGTTTTTCAAAGATATATATTTTTCTATTAATGGTGAAAACTGGGAAAAGAGAATGTTTAACACATATAAGATTTTTTAAAATTTTTTATATATATGCATAATTTCTTTAATCACAGTATGCAAAATGTTGTAAAATTAAACACTATGGGGCCGGCCCGGTGGCGCACTGCTACAGTGCGCCGCTTGGGAGCGCGGCAGCACTCCCGCTGAGGGTTCGGATCCCACATACAGACCGGTTCCCGCTCACTGGCTGAGCAAGGTGCGGACGCATCACCGAGGGNTGAGGGTTGCGATCCATTGCCGGACACGGAAAAAGACAAAAAGGAAAAAAAAAAAAAGAAAAGAAAAAAAAAGAAACATAAGTGGTATTACTCCTAGGTACTTATCAATGTTTTTATAAAACTTTCTTCAATCTCCCTCTGAAGAGCCAAATCAAGAAAGTGGATATTTCACCATTCTTCTACAACTCCAGAAAAGTGGGGTATACACTTGAGATCAAATGATCCCTTGGGCAGTTTTTGAAAACACATTCACGTTCATACCTATGGTGCAATAATGGAACAAGAAACAGGAAATACTTCTAAAGAAGCTCAAATAAAGAAAATACTCAAATCAAGGTACAGAATATTGGTACCTGCCATAAATTCAAGGTTACGTTAAAGGTAGACATTAAGGACAGGGCAGTGGTAACTCAATCAACGTGCAAGACTGTCCTTTTTCCACGTCAGTGTTCTCATCTCAAATGTGGATACATACCCCTCCATGGCTCTCTATTTCCTACACTAAGTCATCTGAGATGTTTAACTCTTCATGACTGAAGCAAAATGTATTCTACATAACTTAAATAAGAACACATTTGGCCTATAATAACTGATCACGTAAATAAAATTAATATAAGCTTAGATTTAAACTAGAATAGAAATGAAATCTGAAAAACTGTTATGCTAAAAAAAGAAACAAAGAAGGTGTTAACTTACCTAACTACATATCATTCTCTTGACACTCTAGCAAGTTACAAGAGAATATACAAAATCTAAATTCCAAAATAAAGTAGAAGTTCAACTGGAAAATGAATTTGATTTTAAAAAATGGGATAAATGGTTTTTAAATCAGCATTTGGCTGAAACTGATGCAAAATTAATCAGCATTACTTTTTAAACCTCTTTGCAACAGGGTTAAAAAAAAAAAAGAAAAATACCTTGCAATGGTCAAAATTAAATCTAACATAAATCCTTCCACATTGAGTAGCATATGAAAACTAAGGGTTATTATTTATGTAAATTTAAGAAACAAACATAATCACACTTAGGGAAAAAATGTAATACTCTTTCTAAAACACTAAAAAGATACCAAAATATTGTGTGTTCTTCAAAGGATCACCTATGTTACACCAGCACTATGGCCCATAGTGGGTTTGGAAAAATATAACAAGATTCAATTTTATTATTTCATCACTATAATTTTAATCAGTGGGCATATTAATGTCACATATACTTTTTTAAATATAAATATTTTTAAAAGCTGTGTTTTACAATTCAACACCAATAATATGTAGCTGATAAAGGTTGTATAGGTAATCACTTTGTGTTAGAAATACGATCAGAATACTGTTATGGTGAAAGAAAAATACCTTTGAATAATTCACATTCAGCAATAGTGAAAATGCTCTACATACACATCAACTCTGAACAACATATTTCAGTTCTGTTTCAAACCTGCTATGCCATCTATTGCTGTTTTGATGATTGCACAGTTCAACATAAAAATACATCCCACTCAGATTCTCAGTAATAAGTCTGATTAGGCAGATAACTTCCCAATGATAAAAGCTTTTATTTTAAGACAAGTACTATGCAAATACAGCATCGAAATCAGACTGCCTGTAATTGGGATAAAAAGGCCACTCTAACAGGAACATAGCACATGTGATACCCGCTGTACTTCTCTGCCCTCATCCTGCATTCCTGCCTTTCTTCCTCCTCTCTGAAGTGCTAGATTAAAGTGTATTTACACTAGAAAGTTACTAACAGGCTTAGTATGAGAGAACTATGTGTTTAAGAAAGCAAGACTTTCTAGATAAATCTCCAAATATGTTCTCATTTATGTTTTTATGACCTTTCTTATAAAGAGGAAGTGTTTTATGTGCAACACCTGCAGATAGAAATAAATCAACATTTCATTCAAGCCCAGTCCAGTACATCAAACATAAAATACAGATGTGAAGCAAACTACAATAGCAGCAGTGATTCTTAGGGCAACGTGTGCAAAATCCAATA